TTCCCCATATTTAAAGTGAAAGCATTAAATATGGGAAATCATAACCATACAAAGATGAAAATAAATATAAAGTATTAAATTTGGGAAATCATGACCATACAAAGATGGAAATAAATATAACCGTTGGATCCACATAATCGATCTAATGGTAAGATTGATTGGTAGTAACATAACTTAGTTGTCACAATATCCTTCCTCGTATATATATATATATATATATATATATATATATATATATATATATATATATATAAGGTAAGTACCAGTTTTCAGCCGGCATCACGGTTGCGTACCATATTAATCGCCATTGTAGACAACTGCATACATCATCGTGGTTTCAATTTCCTATTTTCAAACTTACAATTTGACTTCTTTGGACATTTTCTTCGTGGGTACAAGAAATTGTATTTTCATTCAAACATATCTAAAAACCACCCGTAAAACGAACCCAAGGTATTAATTTACCGGTGATAGCATTACGTGTGAAAAGACATATAATTTAAATTTAAATTTAAATTATATTTAATGGGATAAGATATTATAATAACCAATTACTATCAGTAACAATGTTACAATCAATTTCACCGTTAAATTGATTATCTTGATATAACGGTTATACTTATTTTCACCTTTGTATGGTCATGATTTCTTATATTTAATGTGAAAAATATGAAAGCATTGAATATAAGAAATCATAACCATACAAATGTGAAAATAAATATATAGTATTAAATATGAGGAATCATAACAATATAAAGATGAAAATAAATATAACCGTTGGATCAACATAATCGATTTAACGATGAAATTAATTGATAGTAATACTAATTGGTTGTTACAATATTTTTTTCTCATATTTATTTATTTGATATTAAGTAACGACTGATAATATTTTGGTATAACAACCATTATAATTTTTTATTTGATATTAAGTAACACTAATTTTTTATTCACGAATTTAAATTTGTTAAAATATTACAAGTTGTTTTATAATTTTCAACAAGTCATAAAAATAGATTAAAAGACTGACGTCTTACTCCAAATTTAATTGTGTTGACTGTTGACCCATATTAATTGTACAACCTGTAATTTGTTGAAAAAATTTGTACGGTAAGGGTTTGCGTTGACTTTTTAACGTTTCCAACTGTATCATTTGAAATGTTATATGATTAAAGTTTTTGTCCTTTTAAATAATATAATTTATATCATTTTATTCTTATAAAGATGCGGGATTCACACTTTTATATTTTTTTGTCCATTCTTTCTCCTCCTTTATCTATCTCTTTCTTTCACTTAAAATTACACAACTTTATATCCTTTAAAATAATACACATTTTTCCATGTTATATATATAATTTTTTTCACTTACAAACTATTACTATCAAATTATAAATGTTGATTTTTATTAATCTAATAATTGTAATTAATAAATATGACCAATAAATTATAACTATCACATTGACGAAAATTAACGGTTTATAAGCAAAAAAGTTTATAAATATAACTTTCATATATAAATGATAATCGTTGATTGGTAAAAATCAACGGTCAAAATTTGATGTCAAATTTTTAAATTTGACATTGGTGTCAAAGGATCATATATATATATATATATATATATATATATATATATATATATATATCGAGGTATGATCCTTTAACATCGGTGTCAAATTTCAAATTTGACACTTCATCTGAAAGCCGTTAGATCAAAAAAGATCAATGGTGTCACATGCTTACAAGTCAGAGTCGTTGATCTTTTTTGATCTAACGACTCTCAGATGAGGTGTCCAATTTGAAATTTGACACTAGTGTCAAAAGATCATACCTCATATATATGGTAAAATTATTCCTATAGCCGCTTTACCTTTACGTATAACAATGACAGGTATATGATTATGATTCTCCATATTTAATACTTTCACGTGTGTAAACAATGACAGGTATATGATTATGATTATCCACATTTAATACTTTCACGTGTGTAATTTTAAGTAAAGGTAAAGCGGTTATAGGAATAATTTTACCATATATATATATATATATATATATATATATATATATATGTATGACACTGGTGTCAAAAGATTTTACCTCATATATGAATCGTTTCCGATTGATACCAAACTTCAAAATGACATTGCCAGAAATAGATAAAATAGTATTTCCATTTTTTAATCAAAATAGGTGTATTCTTTGCTGCTATCTATCCAATTGGTCAAGGAAGCTTTTCGGATGGTATGCTTCTAGTATCTGGTACTTTCAACTTTATGATTGTATTTTAGGCTGAGCACAATATTCTTATGCATCCATTTCACATGTTAGGTGTAGCTGGTGTATTCAGATCATTTGACACCAGTGTCAAACTTTAAAATTTATATCAAATCGTAACCGTTAATTTTCACCAATCAACGGTTACCATTTATTAGGAATTAATAATTAATCAATAAGTTTGATTTCCAATAAATGATAATCATTAATTGAAGAGAATCAACAGTCAGGATTAGATGTTAAATTTTAAAACTTGATATCGATATCAAATGATCATTCCCATATATATATATATATATATATATATATATATATATAAAATGATCTGACTAGAATCAACAGATTTCTATGAAATCCGGATAATATGGTAGAAAGAAATAAAATCTATTTCTTTCTACCATCTGAAATAATCAAAAAGCAACTCTCTCTCTCTCTCTCTATATATATATATATATATATATATATATATAATGAATTTATTGTTTGTTATGTTACATGATATAAGATTATGTCATGTCACTCAAAAATTACATCGTTTTGGGAGCTCAGAAAATTAACGAGGGTGTTTTGATATTTTTGTTCGCTTATTTAGTATATGAACTTATCAAAACACCGTTTCATTAACTCTCCAAACTTTTAAAATAACATAATTTTGAGGTCATATGATACAACTTCATGTCTGGTGACATGACAAATGATAAATCTATATATAATATTAGGTTTACATCTCTCTCATTCTACACTCGAAGTCTTTGTAGGGTGCGTACCATGCTACCATCGCCCTTTCCAACCACTAGCTCGTGAGAGGAGCCTCCAGCAAATATCACCAATTTCACCAAGGAGACTTAGAAGTAGCTTGCTGTCCAATCCAACTATCCTAAAAAATATTAATTTCCATTAGCAAATAAAATAGTGCTTGAAATTATATTGATGGCCGGCGACATCAACTTGCGGACATTATCCATAGCCGCCTCTTCGTGTTATTGCTACCATCGAATGCAAACCTCGTGCCATATAGATGTTAAGCAAAAAGAATATATAATTAGAAATTTAAATTTAAAGTATAGTTATTTTTACATTATTATTTATTTTTTAATTTTATTAATATCGGTAAAAAAATTAAATTACAAAATTATAATTAAATTTATAATTCAACATATGAAATTCTGAAATTGGTCTTTAATTTATTATCATAATATCTTACCTAGTAGGCCAGTACGGTTTTACTGCATTTCATTTTCAGCACACAAGGGAGGAATTTACAAAACCATATGTAAAGACAATGGACATGTTTGAATTGTGTTTCCGAAAATAATTTGTTGATTTTTGGAAGAAAAAAATCAAAACAAAAAAAAAAAACTGTCTGATAAGACTTATTTTGTAAAAATAGTTCTAACATATATATATATATATATATATATATATATATATATATATATATATATATATTATATATTTGGTTTTTAGAATTAAATTTAAAGAATATGTCTAAGTTTTTTTTGTTTTATGTTTGACTTTTAACTTTCAGAACACAGAAAATACCTATTTATTAATTATTCTATAGAATAAAAATAAAAAAATAAAACACAATCAAACAGCTCCAAGATATTTTTTTCTGGCACAGATGTCTGATTGTAAAGACCATCATTTATTCATTTTTCATCTTATGGCTCCTACATGTGGCTCAATCCAGTTTTTATTTATAAAATAAATTTTGTTAACTATTACTATGGTCCGGATTTATTTCTAAATTCATATAACCACTTAATGCATGTTTAGTTTTACTTATTTTTCTAAAAAAAATAGTTTTTTTTTTAAACTTTCTCAATAAACTTACAATTTTTTTTAATTCATTGATTTTTATTTCCTTTTTCGAAAAGAAGAGTCTCATTATTCTACTCCTCAATGTACAAAGATAGACATTGCAACAACAGGTGAATACCTAAAATGAAACCAAATCAATCAGATGACACTAAAAAGAAAAATAAATTAAACCGAACTTATTACTTGTTTTCGAAGCATTGGATTCTCACCAACGTTTGCGTTATTCAAGCCGACATTCTCGCTTCTGCTTCGTCCACTAGAAGAAAGTCAATTTATTGCTTATGTAGCTTATCCTTTAGACCTTTTTGAAGAAGGTTACTAACATGATAATGTATTTGGCTTCGAGGCCTGTTTCGAAGTAACATTAATATAAAAATTAATACAAAAAATAAAAAATAAAAATATATGAAGAAATTGGCCCACTCCTACTTTATTTTTTTCCTAATTAAATCAACGTGGTTTGATTATTAACACCTATATTAATAATCAATATGAAAAGATTGACTTTTTTATTTTCTTGAATAACAGTTTTCTGACTTTTTCTTAATTTAAAATCTACAATGTTGACATAATCAAGTGGGGAACGTGGCCCAGCACGCAGCATATGTACATAACAATACGGTTCTTGTACTTTAATCACACTTCCCTTTCCCTTCTTCTTTGTTCTCATCCGTACGTCCTCTCATGGATTCTTCACCCATATATGTACACACTGTCGTTTACTTTTCCTTTCACTACTCACAACCTTAATAAGTTCATCATCATACATAATATCTCTCTATCTTCTCTCTTTTTTAAGTCTTGAATATATTTTGTTATCAATCAAACAAAGGGCCAAAAAAGTTAAAGAAAAAGAAGGAGGGGATCGCTGTGATCAAGCTATTATAAAGTAATTTTCCATTATCATGAACGAGCAGCAACAGTTTCAGCAGCATCAGGAGCCGATGATGAATATGGATATGAGGAAGAAGAGGGAGAAGAAGAAAGCCACAGAAAAAGAGAGTCTTGAAATAGTGGACTTGAGTGGCTTGTCCTTGGAGTCTCTTCCCAAACTTTCGCTTGATTTAGCTACCATTTGCAAGTTGGACCTATCTAATAACAATCTCCAGGTACGTCAACGCAACAACACATACATACATATATTTATTTTCGAAACTTTCATAATAATAAATATTTTGATCAGAACACAAATTTATAGATTTGTGGTTGCTTTGATCTAGTTAAAATCATCTTGCCATCCAAAAAGCAAGCATTTTCTGCTGAGCTTATAAATATATATATTGTTGGGAATCCATGGTGTAAAGGTCAAAAGACTTGAATCGAAAACAATTTTGGTTTTCCTTTGCACTCATCTTCCTTTTAGAACAGCTTACTAATTGACCCTTTTGCCCCCTGATAAAAATTAATATTACAACTTTACCCTCATATACAAACAGTTCACCTATTATTATGTAGTATAATTTTACGTTAATTTTTTTTATATATAAATATTGTAATATGTTGCTCTTGGCGAGCCCAGATAGCAAGATCATAGGGTTGAATTCGAGAAATACTTTCTTTATAAATATATTAAGGTAAAATTGTTTATAACTCCCTCCTATACTCATTAGTTGAGTTTAATGGAGAGTAATTTTTTTTATTGTAATATGTTAATTTCTCCTGCTCGATCGAGTGCTGCTTTTCCTCTTACCCGCATACGTTTCGTGTATATTGATGAGCATCTGATTTTACAATAAGAACAAACAAAGTCATTTAAAACGGTGTAATTATATTTTGTCAAAAGCCAAATTTTGTTCAAAGTCATTTAAATCTAAATCTTAATAACTAGCTGAATATAATCAGAAATTGAAACAAAAAATAAGAGGAAGTGATAGCACTATTTCACTATTGATTTGTTGGTTTCCACTTCCCTTTCTCCTCCAAATGTTACATGTTAATTATTGAATCTTACATTATATCAAATTTTATATGTAAATATTATTTTACTGTGACAGAACATTCCGGAGTCCTTAACGGCGAGACTACTGAACATGGTGGTGTTGGATGTGCACTCCAACCAGCTCAGGACCCTCCCCAATTCCATTGGTTGCCTCTCTAAGCTCAAGATTTTGAATGTCTCTGGCAACTTCATCGAATCTCTTCCTATAACGATTGAGAATTGCAGGTAATTCACTTTCTTCAACTTCATCGAATCACTCAATAGTTGCTGTGTTCCTTTTTACTTTCTGCATATTGCTGTCAAGAATTTTACCTGTATAGGTGTCACTCTCTTTCAGTACATGACTTCAAATAAAAATTGATTAGAATGTGTTATATTGGTTTAACTAATAAAGCCTTTTGCCACTGCTAGAAAAAATCTATATAGCGACGGAATTGCTATGGAAATTTCGTTGCTAATTTCTTCCTCGCTACTATTTTTTGTCACAAATTCTCTCACAAAATTATTTGTGAGAGAATTTGCAACGAAAAATAATAGCGATGATGAAATTAGCAACGAAATTTTCATAACAATTCTATCGCTATACAAATTTTTTCTAGTAGTGCATTGATTAGAAGAACTTACCACGTTACTAGAGAAGAAACAGTTTAAGAAAGAAAAAAGATTCTACCTTGCACAACCCATATAAGAGAGGAAAAAAGAGATGAAAACAACAAATCAAAATTATCTCTTTTTATATGAAATTTATTAAAGAGAAATATAAAAATTTTACATAATAAAATTATATAAAGTTTTAGCATAAGAAAATTCATTATCAAAAGATACATTTTTTTGTTTTTATATTTATTTTCAGAAATTTTCACCCCGCCGTTTAACTGAATTATCAACTGTTTTCCTCCTTCTATGTTATTTGTGCACAAAATGTTTGTGATAGAAAAATTTTATGTTAAAATTTTATATGATCTTATGATATAAAAATCTTATTTTTAGTTTTTTTATAAATATTAAATAATTACCTTAGATACCATAAAAAAAAAAAGAACCTTTGATAAATATCTCAATTAGACATTGAATCCCATGTATACGAAAGTCAGCAAATCCTACTTCTTTAGAGTCGAAAGCTTAATAAGTGACAGTCTGCTAGATTATCAAACACGTGTAATTTTTTATAGGGAATTATCGTATTATATAATGTACGGAATTTACGGATATATTTAAGCTCTGGTCCACCCTTGGCCTTGTCAAATAAGTAAGTTGTTTTCAACAAGTAATTATTTAATTATATCGTACCCCCACCAACCAAATGCTCAAGTGGCATGGATTATTCTATTTAACCAATGCTTTTTAATTTGAGTTTTGGGTATGCTATATTAAAACTAAATAAAGAGAGATACGTTGGTTTACCCAAGAGAGAGAGAGAGAGAGAGACGTTGTCTCTGTGGTCCTATACTCCTATTCAATTTCAAGTGGAGAAATTAAAACAAAAAAAAATACACCTTTTTCTTAAAAAAAATTGAAAACTGAGTCCAATATAGGAAAATAAGCATCGTGGAGTCTGCTAGCACAAATTGGGGGTGACAATTTAAAAACATCCTTCAGCTAAAACAAAATTAAAAAAAAGATAAATAAGTCCTGGGTACTTCGGTTGAAAATTGTACTAAGAATAAAATGTTATAAACGTAGAGTCTGACTGAGGGAGGCTAGACTAGCATCACTGTCAAAAGGCTCATCACCCAATATTAATAAATATTTGAGAAAAGTTCATAATACCCTTGTAGTTTGCAAATTACAGTATGTGATAAAAAAATCAAGGGACATGAATGATTCCAGAATAAATCAGAGCGACATTGGTGGAATTAACTCTCCATTTATTCATACTTTTCCTTAATCACCTCAAATTTTAATTTCTATGTCAATTAAGTCATTAAGCATGTCTAGTTCTTACATCACAAAAACAAAATTGTAATTTCTTGCAAATCAAAACAAAAAATTTAACTTATTCCTTATGTTATTTTATTTTATTTTTTTAACTCTTTAGGCACTCGTTAGTAGATATTGATTGAATAATGCTTGTCCTAAGTTTCTAAGCCTCACACGTCACATTACCATGATATGGCAAAATTAATGTGAACAAAACAAAATAAGATGAAGTAAAAACTATATAGATGTGAGGTGGTTTCGTAAGCTCACACCTGACGTGTTGTGTTTGACACTTCTCGATACTCTTCGACACTCGGACATTCCTCGACATTTCAACACGCATTGTAGAAACTCAAAAAAGAGTTCAAAGATTGCGCTGCGTTTTTAGTTCCAATTATTAGATTCGTTGAATTACGATTACCATTTTATTGAGTTTAATATAAATATTTGGGATATCTTATGTTTCTTTGCATAATTGATAGGTATTATAAGTTTAACTTCATTTTTTTGTTAAATTATTGAGTATTAAAGTATTACATTAATAAATTAAAAATAATATTTAATATCAAAACGTGTCCTAACGTGTTGACATCTAACATTTTTTAGAATTAAAATGTCGAAACATCGTGTAATATCGTATCTGGTGTCCCATGCCGGTACACCGTAAGTGTGTGTGTATATCTTGATAATGATTACATGGTTCATTCTTTTTAACATGCAAGCCTGTTATGAATTTTGATCCACCAGAGCCTTAGAAGAACTTAATGCCAACTTCAACAAGTTGACCAAGCTGCCAGACACAATAGGGTTTGAGCTCATAAACCTCAAGAAGCTCGCAGTCAACTCCAACAAGCTGATGTTCCTTCCAAGCTCAACCTCTCACCTAACAGCTTTAACGGTTCTTGACGCACGCCTGAACTGCCTCAGGGCTCTACCAGAGGATCTTGAGAACCTCATAAACCTTGAGACTCTGAATGTGAGCCAGAACTTCCAGTACTTGGAGTCATTACCCTACTCCATAGGGCTCCTCTTGTCTCTGATTGAACTGGACGTTAGCTATAACACGATCAAGACATTGCCTGACTCCATTGGATGCCTCAAGAAGCTCCAGAAGCTAAGTGTACAAGGAAACCCACTTACTTCGCCTCCAATGGAGGTGGTGGAGCAAGGGCTGCATGTGGTGAAGGAGTACATGTGCCAGAAGATTAACTCAAGCCATCAAAGCACAACCAAGAAGAGGTCTTGGGTGCGGAAGTTGATGAAACTTGGGACCTTCAATGGACACACGAAAATTAGGAAACGACCAGAAAATGAGGGTTTTAACAAGCTTAAGTATCAGTCCATCGATGGTCTTGCTTCTCCTGGCTTCATGGGGATGTTCTCACCTCTTCGCCTCTTCTCACCCCGTCGTTCCTTCAGTTGAGAAGCACCAAAATGTTGAATATTCCAACAATCAAGGGGTGTGATGATTACGAGTGGGCATTAAAATTGCCGGTTAAGTTGTATGTATATAGAGTACTACTAGAATGTATCATGGAATTGAAAATGATGGTGGGTTTATGAAACTTTGTAAAAGCCTTGCTCATGTGAAGTTCATTCTGATGTTTAATTAATAACAGTTAACAAGTTAAAACGAGCGAATCTAATTTCTTTTCGGTTCTTTGATCTGTTAGAAAAGCAAACTCCACTAGAAGAATCTATATGTCATGTGCACACAGCCACGTAACATAGTTAGCTGTCCTTGTATAAATGTAAGTGTCATGTAATAAGATATGTGTCATTGTATTAGAAGAGGTGTCATAGGTGTTATATGAGCTGTCCTAGTATGTGTCAAATTAATCAGTTAGAAGCTGTGGATGGAAACAAATACAAAATAAAAAATAAAAACGGTGGAGCGGTAGAATGAAAAACATTCGGTAGCTGAGTTATATAACTGATATAGTATGGGTTTGTAATATGCATTATAAAAAAAAGAAGAAGAAGAAGTACTGTGCGTGAGAAACTCTAGAAAAAAATTAGAAAGTTGCTGTGCGTGAGAAACAAATAGAAGTACTGTTCTGTTTGCATCTTTTTCTATTCTTAATTTCCTACAAGTGGTATCATCATAGATATCACTTTTCATCTTTGCCGGTGCTTTCCCTGAATTGTTGCTATTACTGCTTTTTGATGTTGATGGTGTAGCTGTTGGTCTTCTTGGAGTAAGACTTGGTAGAAGAGTTTGATCTTTTTCTTCTTGAACTGTATGCTCTTCTGAGTCTCATCATCTTTAAAGAATAGGCCTTTCATTTTCTTTTCTTCGTTACTCCATTTCCAGTAATCTGCTCCATCAAACTCTACATCTCGTGAAATGATCACCTTTTTGGTAGGAGGATTGTAGAGTTTGTATGCTTTACTCCTAAGGTCGTAGCCAATGAAAATGCATTTCTCCTCTTTGTCATCTAGCTTCTTTCTCCTTTGATCTAGAATGTGAGCATATACTATGCAATAAAAAATTCTTGAATGATTTACTTCTGGTTTCTTGGCACTCTGCTTTATTCGGAGCCTTGAAATGCACGCTTTCCGTTGGACACGGGTTTAGTAGATAGGCAACACATTGAACAGCTTCAGCTCAAAATGTTCTTGACAGTTGTTTTTCCTTTAACATGCTTCTCGCCATATCAAAAATAGTACGATTCTTTCTTTTTGCAATTTCATTTTGTTGTGGCGCGTAGGCAGCTGTCAACTAATGAATTATTCCATGTTGTCTGCAAAATTCATCAACAAATTTGAAAGTATATTCACCTCCTATATCTGTTCTGAGTCTTCAGATATTGACTGCTTTGCTTTTCTACCATTGCTTTAAATTCTTGAAATTTGTCAAGGACTTTTGATTTTTCTTTGATTATATACTCCCATGCTTTTCTGCTGAAATCGTCAATAAATGTGATATAATATATGTTACTTCAAAGTGATGGAATATCAAATGGGCCAACAATATCTGAATGAACTAACTGCAACGGTCTTCTAGCTCTCCATGACTTGCCAACTTCAAAGCTTTGTCTATGCTGTTTTCCTCTCATGCAGCTTTCACACAGCTGATCTGGATTATTTATTAGTGGCAATCCGCTCACTATCTTTGTCTTTGACAACAACTTCAAGCCAATGAATCCAATATGTCCAAATCTGAGGTGCCACAACCGTGAACTATCTTTTGTGATGGACTTCATACATCTTATTGCTTATGTCTGGATATTCAGTTTGAAAAGGCGATTTCTTGTCATATCAACATTTGCAATTAACTCTCCTTTTTGATATTATATCACAATTATTGATGATTTCAGTAGAAAAGCCTGAGTGTATATAAACAAAGAAAAATCAGAAGCCCTTGACAAATTCAAGGAATTTAAAGCAATGGCAGAAATGCAAAACAGTTAATATCTGAAGACGCTCATAATAGATAAAGGAGATGAATATACTTCCAGATTGTTTGATGAATTTTGCAAACAACATGGAATAATTCATTAGTTGACAACTGTCTACACGCCACAACAAAATTGAATTATAAAATGAAAGAATCGTACTATTCTTGATATGGAAGGAGCATGTTAAAGGAAAAACAACTGCCAAAAATATTTTGGACTGGAGCTATTCAACGTGCTGCCTATCTACTAAACCGGTGTCCAACAAAAAGCGTGCAATTCAAGACTCCGAATGAAGAATAGAGTGGCAAGAAACCAGAAGTAAGTCACTTAAGAATTTTTGGTTGCATAACATACGCTCATATTCTAGATCAAAAGAGAAAGAAACTAGATGACAAAGGGGAGAAATGCATTTTCACTGGCTATGACCTTAGGAGTAAAGCATACAGACTCTACAATCCCCTGACCAAAAAGGTGATCATTTCACGAGATGTAGAGTTTGATGAAGCAGATTACTGAAGATGGAGTAATGAAGAAAAGAAAGTGGAAGGCCTATTCTTTAAAGATGATGATGACTCTGAAGAGCAGACAGTTCAAGAAGAAAATGATCAAACTCCTCCACCAAGTCCTACTCTAACAACTCCAACAACTACATCATCAACATCAGGAAGTCGTAGCAATAATAGCAACAATTCAGGGGGAGCACTGGCAAAGATGAAAAGATTAAGTGATATCTATGATGTTACAGATCCAGTACAAACTACACTTGATTATTCTTTATTTTGTTTAATGGCTGAATGTGATCCAGTGAAATATGAAGAAGCTGCAAAAGATGAAATGTGAAAGAAAGCCATGAATGATGAAATTGCTGCAATCAAAAGAAATGACACGTGGGAGCTCACAACCATGCCTAAAGGTCATAAGTCGATTGGTGTAAAGTGGGTACAAGACAAAAACCAACCAAGACGGGAAAGTGGAAAAGTACAAGGCAAGATTGGTGACTAAAGGTTACAAACAAAAATATGGAGTTGACTATGAAGAGGTATTTGCACAAGTTGCAAGGATTGACACTATCAGACTTCTAGTAGCAGTTGCAGCACAAAAGCAATTAAAGATATTTCAGATGGATGTAAAGTCATCTTTCCTCAATGTTTACCTGGAAGAAGAAGTCTACATTGAGAAATCAGTAGGTTATGTTAAAACAGGAGAAGAATATAAAGTTTATCGATTGAAGAAGGCGTTATATGGATTTAAGCAAGCCCCAAAAGCATGGAACATGAGAATAGATGAATACTTTCAGAAGAACGAATATGTGAAGAGTCCGCATGGACATGCTTTATACACAAAGAATAATGAAGATGGAGATATAATGATTGTGTGCCTCTATGTGGATGATATGATCTTCACAGGAAATAATACAGGTATCTTTGTTGAGTTTAAGAAAGCTATGACTAAAGAGTTTGAGATGACAAATATTGGAGAGATGTCTTACTTTCTTGGAGTTGAAGTTAAACAATTGAAGGAAGGAATTTTTATATCACAAAAGAAATATTCACAAGGGATATTGAGTAGGTTCAGAATGAAAGAGTGCAATTCAGTATCCACGCCAATAGAAGCAGGAATGCAGATGAAAGTTGATTCAAATAGAGAGCCAATAAATCCTACACTATACAAAAGCTTGGTCGGATGCTTAAAGTACTTGACTTTTACTCGACTAGATATCATGTTTGCAGTTGGCTTAGTTAGCATATAATATGGAGCAGCCAAAGCCAGATCACCTCAGTGCAGCACAAAGAATTTTGAGATATATCAAAGGAACTGTTGATCATAGCTTATTCTATACACATTCTGAAGAATCAAAGTTGATTAGCTATTCATATAGTGATTATGGAAGAGATGCAAATGATCGAAAAAACACTTCTGGATATGCTTTTCACATTGGCACGACAATATTTTAATGGTCATCCAAGAAACAACAAACTGTTTCACTTTCATCATGTGAAACAGAATATATGGCTGCAACAGCGTGCACGTGTCAAGCAATTTGGTTGAAGAATATTATGAATTGCGTCATGAACAAGAAGGTCCAATCATAATATATGTGGACCATAAGTCAGCTATATCACTTGCAAAGAATTTGGTCTCCCATTGCCGAAGTAAACACATTGACACGAAGTATTTTATTCGGGAGCAAAGGTCATTTTCGTTGTGGTCTTCGAACTCCTTTTTTCATTTTGTCGGTCATTCGAAAATATCATCTTCAAGGTGGTATTCCTAAACAGTGTTTTTCATCACAATTTCCACACAAATGATAAATCCTGGGCAAATTATTTTATTGGATTAATTTTTTTAAAACTTGTACCAAACATGGTATTATTGGATACTCACCCTCACTTTTCCAGCAATCGCCAAAGAAACCTTCTACCAAACACTCCCTTTGGGATAAGAAAAATGTCACCTAACGATGTTGTCTTTGTCTAAGGAAAAATTAAATATCAGGACAAATAACAAAAAACCTAGGGTTTAGTAAATTTAACATACTTGGACTGTCCAAGTATGTTAAATTAACTGTCGGTTGTAATATACTTTAAAAAAATAGCTCTTGTATAATTTCTATATTTGTTATTATATTTAAGAAAATGCTTATTATTATATAAGTGTTTTTTTATTGTGAATGAATGTTTTTAGTTGTTAGTGTGTGTGTATATATATATATGGGCAGGATATTCTTACACCGGTGTAAGAGTTAGAAGTCTTAGACTCAATCTTGACAATTGATCCACTTGTATCCAATAGCTGACATTACTAAAAAAATTAGAGGCATTAGATATAAGTGGGATCAATGGACAAGATTGAGAGTGTAACTTACACTGGTGTAAAATGATCCTGACCCATATATATATATATATATGTATGTATATATATATATATATATATATATATATATATATATATATATATATAATTGTTATATTCTTTATTATTTTAAAAAATGTCGTGTTCTTTATTATATTTAAAGGGGAAGGATCCGTTTATAATTTTTTTTACAAATTACGCTAAGTATGATTGGCCATACACTCTTGATTAGTGTATGACCGGCCAGACATAGTATAGTTTGTAAGAATTTATAAACAAAAAATTTGTAAATATAACCTTCTCCTTTAAAAAATATATTTGAAAAAACAGTAATATGATAAATAATACGATAAATAGTAATACGATAAAGAATATTCTTTATCGTATTACTATTTATCATATTCTTTATAATATTCTTTACCGTATTACTATTTTTTTTAAATATATTCTTTAAATATAATAAAGAATATAGCTTTTTCTTAAATAAAATAAAGAATATAACAATTATATATTTAGAGGTTCTATTATTTCGCAATCGCAATCAGCTATAGCACTATAGCATTTTTTAAGGGTTGGTCGCGCCAGGCCGCAATCCGCAATTGATAACTATGAATTTTATTAGTAGGGAAGGGATGAAGAAATATTGACTTAGATTCCAATGACTTAAAACAAAGATATTAATCTCTTTTGAAATTTTATTACCTTGGTATTTTGATTTTAATATGTATTATGATGATTGAATTTAAACTTAATTTTTATTTTCTTTAGTGTTTGGACTTAAATTTGTGATGACCTATGCATTGGTATGTTTTGAGTTTATATATGTTAGATTTTTTTTTTTTGGGTACCTAATAAACTATTACATTTCGTTTACATTTTACTATTTTACATTTCTCAGCATCTCTACCGTTTCTACGTGTACTTTACGTTTTAACAACTTTGCGATAGAGACCCACCGAATAGACTCCTTGGGAGAGATCAATCCTCTCAAAAGCTCAAGAATATCGTACTGATATCAGTGAAATATATACAAAATAGTAAAATACGTGTTTCTGTTTCTATTCTTGGTTCGATACATACTTGGTTACTATCAGGATATATTCGAAACAAAATTCAGAATTAGCCCTACTTTTTTTTAAAACAATAAAAATCAAAATGAGTACAAATCTTAGTTCCAGAGGTTTCATCTTCGCACCTCATAATGCGTATATAACCAAAATCTACCTCACAAGACTGACATCTTTCATTTGTTTCAATCACAACCTCAATTACAAAAATCACTTTGGTATATTCAAAAGTCATTCCCACAAGAACCCAATACCCCACGGTTAGGCACCCCATATGGGAAGTAAGGTAGAGAGAGAAAATTCAGTCATGTAACCAAGGGGACGTAACCAACTGCCACGTAGGAAGGAAAAAGAGAATGAGGTAAGCGGGAATTGGTCGGGATAAAAGGGAAGAGAAGGGAGAAGAGAGGTAGGAAAGAAGTTAGTAGGGAAAGGGTGGGAGAAAACCAGACCTCTTGTGAATTGCCAGGGTTACTTGTAATATTTTTTCGTGCTTGAGAGAGTTTCACACTTTTCCTTGTATAAAGTCATTTTGCTACTGATATTACTACATCAGTGGCCAAAGTTCCGTAAATAATACAAAAACTTATAACATTTGATTCCAGTTCCATCAAGGCCAAAAATTCTTTTTCTTGCCACATAACACAATCACTTGGTGCCGCTTGACCTGAGGGTTTGGTCTTTAACAAATTAATACATGCAAAGAACTACAAAAACCAATTTGACTTGACCAAGTGAAATTAGAAAAGAAGAAAGTATGCTTTCATTTCCAGAGTTTTATTGCATGCTTTTTGAAATATCAGCTGGGTGTGAGACCTTGATCTCCCATTCAAAGTGGAGTCTCTCACCTCTTATTAGCCTGCTTTTAGGAATGAGTCCTCCTCTATATCAAGTGATATCAAAGCCCCCATTGTTTTAAGAGTAAAAAAGATAATAATAACAAGAGAAAGAAAATCAAAGGTCAATGAAGAGGTAAGCAATTATCAAGTAAAATTTCTGTTTTTGGCAACATCCCCCGAGACAATTATGAGGGAAAAAATATTTTCAGAGTCCCCGGACAATGATGAATGTGTTTCAGAAAAATTGCTATATCTATGTACCTAGATTCTAGCGCTGTGTTAACAAAAAGGAAGGACTAGAGGAAAACTTTTTCTTGGTACAAAGGAGGCCTATGACCAGCTGGGAGGATGGGGGTAGTAAGCTAAAGTACAGGCAAAGTGACCACGCTGGGATTAGATCTCAGGACCAAGCAATCCCCAAAGGGACTTAATGCCACATTTGAGCTAAGGCTCTTCGACTCTAGAGGAAAACTTTTACTTGAACCATAAATGCTACACTTAAAAGTACCCTTGATAAAAATTATTAATGTTAAATACCACTTGGAACTTGGAATTGACTATTGAGCAAAAGAGATAGCAAATGTATGGTCAAAACAATCCAACATTGTTTTAAGTAATTTGAGTTTGAAGAAAGCAGGATAGCATGAAAGGGAACAGATACACAGACAGAGGGAAACCACCATACAGGCGAGAGGAAGATCAAGATCATCCGACAAGCAAACAAGAAAAGTATAGATAGAAAGCACATAAACACAAAGCAATCAGCTAATCCATAAACAATCCGCACTCCCATTTTCAGGCTTGATGTTGCATTTTTCCCTCTGCCAGAATTTCCCCTAAATCCTAGTCTGACAGTACAGTAACCATAGAAACATCTCTCTCAATCCCGAGACTCACATTTGCACATCAAACTCACATAGTAATGAAGAAAACATCCAAGTACAGCATATCTCTAAAACAATACATACAAAATGACGACACAGTTCACCAAGTAACATTGCCCCTTGGGAAACATGCTTCAATCCACAAGTAACAATAACCACAATTCAATCACGCATAAATCATTGCAGATCAAATAAACAAGAAAAGTCGGCCCAACTCCCTTCCTTACCACTCTGCCACAATTTAGGCAGTTCCACTACCCGTTTACCCCTCTCCACTACACACACAACAGTCATCACTTACTATGCCTCTATGTGAACTATAACTATACCCACACTCACCTGTAAAAACTTCCCAAAACTGCCATCCATAACCGTTGTAGCCTTCTCTATAAATGCTTCCTTCTGATATGGGAGGGACATCCTCAATCACACAGCATAATTTCCTGCATACACATACATCCAGCGTCCCTCTCAGTCTCGGCCTTTGGATCCTGATCTCCCTTATATCAGGCATCATTACCATCACTCTGTAGATCAACATGTCAGTCCACCAATTGGGCTGGACATTTGTTCCCACTCCACAAACTCTAAACAATAACCATGAGACTTTTATGCGAAAAATCCAACCCCAATTTCAAGGATACCAAACCAACTAAAGTACTTAGAATAACACCAAATGAGATCCAGTAACAAAAGGCATTTAAATTCAGAAACCCTTAACAGCGTCATCATCGAAAACTAGAAAAATGCAAAAATCTCAAGTGTAGTCAAACTATACGCATTTCAATTCAGATCCAGTTACTCAGAATATAAATAAAACCAAATAAGATCCAGCTACTATAGGCATTTCGATTCAGTAACCTGAAAGTGCAACATCGTCAAAAACTAGAAAAATGCAAAAATGTAATGTATAGTCAAAATACAAATTAGGCAAAATTCTGCAAAATGAAACGGAAGCAAGTTCATCTCAGATAAGCAGGAATCTTGATGCGGATGAAGAGCATACTCATGACGTAAGCGAGGACAACGGAGGAGACGCCGGCGGAGGCGTAGGAGACCTTGACGGTTTTGGCACGGTTGCGATCGAGCGCGAGATCCAAGAGGATGATGCCAATGCCGCCGAGAACGAACATGAAGCCGGAGGAGAGGCCTTCGATGATGTACTGGCCGTTGACGCGGCCGGACATGAAGACGACCGGTCGGACCGCGCCGGTGAAGGGATCCTGGGTTGAGCCGATGCCGGGAGGCTCCACGATGACGTCGTAGACGATGCCGGAGACGACCATGAAGTAGGTGAGGAGGACGAGGGCGAAGACGGCGTTTGGAGAGGGGAGTGTGAATGACGGCAGCTTCAGGCGGAGCCGTGGCGGACGGAGGAAGCTGAAGGGGAGGATCCGGAGGATGTAGAAGATCGGATCCATCGATGCGGCGGAGTATGAGTCGGTGCCACCGGAGGAGGAGCTCTGTTGACCCGGGTTCTCCGATTTGGGTCGCATCGTTTGCGGGTCGGGTTTCCGCATTCTACAGATAGGAACACAGAGTACAAGCGAGCGTAACTGACTGACTTTTAGTTCTGTGTGCTTGTTCTTGGTGTTGAAATTTGAAGGGTCAGGATTTCTTTACGTTAGGGCTCTTTTTCCCAAAATCGTAAATAAAAAAAATTATTGGATTTAGAATTTTTCCTCCTAAAACATATAAAATTATATTATTTAAAATGAGAAAAAAAAACATAATAAAAATCAAATAATGGGAGAAAAAAGTGAGAGATTTTTTTTAATTTAAATTTTAAATAAAAAATATTATTTTTAAATAAAATTATCATCTTTTAAAAAAATACATATTTTTTCCAAATTTATTTACCTAAAAATATATTAAAAATGTAATATTATCATAGATATGAAAAATGCAAAACACTGTTTCATGCGAGATGATTGGTTGATTTTGTGAAAATTATAAAATTCATTTAATTATTGTCTCCAATTTCTTTTACTTTAGAAAAACCTCCTTTACTTTTTTCTTTTAGTCTCGTAAAAAAAAATTCATTTTATATTTTAAAACATATTTTGCATTTCTACCATAAAAGCTTTATCATCACATATTTTTGTCTAATGAAATTTTGTTTTTGATTTTTAAATTCATCTCAATGATATGAATATTCAAAATATTATCACTTTTGTTTTAAAATATCTGTCCTTTTAGATAATATAATCTATTTTCTTTATTTATTAACATTTATAAAATCAAAGAAAGCATTAATTATTTTTTCTAATTTTATCCTTTTCTCTTGATATATCCCCACTAAATAGAATTAGAGAGAATAATAATTCAATCAAATGTAAATATAATTGCTTGAAGTTTAAGAATATAAGATTACATTCTTAATTTTGTATAAACGTTAGACGATTGATCTTTTCGAATGGAAGAAATACTGAAGAAGGTTATTTAACCATGAGTTTGATTTAAATACAAAATTTACAATTTTGTTTTTCCATCTTATTTATTGTATATGACTAAATAAATAAATATACGAGATATTGCATTTTATTAGATACAAATATTTTTTTGACATAAATTAAATTCTTGAACAATATCAAAAGCCAACTCATCAACTTTATTTTGGGGAAGTTTAAGGTAAAAGATAACTGTCAATAGGTTGGTTTATGATTTATCTTTTGATTATGAAAAGTGTATGAAATAAAATTTAAATTCAGGAATCTCTTCATATTTAGTTAAATTAGTGATTTATACTAACTTTGAAATGTGGAAGAGTGCTGTTCAACCAATTTTTTTTTTAAAGTTAAATAAAATGAAAGATTTCCTATTGCCTTGAATTGAATGATGCGAAGTCTACTGTGCAATGATACTAAGGTAGTGTTTAGTTGGGGAGAAGTCAATATTTTCCTGGCAAAGTGAAAGTGGGATTGTTCCTTCTCCACGTTTGGTTGAAGGATTTAGTCTCTGTTGCCCATCAATGAAGGAAGTGCCCATCAATGAAGGAAGTCTAGCAATCGATGATAACAAGTGAAAGTTGGATTTCAACAGTGTTTAGAAAATCTTTTGTGAAGGTGGTATTGCCAATAGAAAGCGGATAAATGAAAAATGGGTGCATGAGCATGACAAGATTGCACCGCCCATTGCGTGCATAACAAAGTCGAGAAATGACATGAACAATACAATGCACTGCAACTCCAATAATCACTCAAAACGTATTCAATAAGTTTTAAAACAATACAGGTTATTTCTTTTGGGGTTTTTTGTAATTTTATTAAATTTTTCCATCAATATTTTATCTTCAACCAAACACACATTCAGTTATTTAACTCAATTTTCCTGGTAAAATTTTGTCCAACCAAACAACATTTTTTAAACTTTCCTATATAACTCATTTTCCCCGCAGATTCCCAGTATTTACATTTTCCTAGTAAAATAAAATTTCTCCTGAACCAAACACTACCTAAATGAATCCATCAACATTAAGGAACAACTTCTCTTTGATAGAGAGATCTCTAGATGCCAAACATTTTAGGCACTTTGATCATCTTCAGGTCATTTGACCTGAAACATACCAATGTTATGGAAAAATATTTGCCAAAGGGGTGGTTAGTTTCGCACCTCTCTACGACTTTTTCTTCTTTTTTTCATTTTAAAAAACATTACAGTTAATTAGAATGCGACATCAACTTTAATGTAAATTAGTACAAATTTTGCTCTCTTAGTCGTCTAAACTCCTCTCATTTGATGGATCAGATCCTCACAATCTTGAGCGTCTTGCCAAACATAGTGTTCATGTTCCAAAGGTGATGTAAGGTGTAAAACTCAATCGGCAAACTTGGGATATAGATGATAGCCAGTATTTTAATTATGCCCTCGTACAAATATAACAATGGTCTCGTTGTTGCACTGCTACATAAATTTAGGGTGGGTGTGGGTAAATCTGAACTGGATTTTTTTGCAGAATCAAACTAAACTAATTTAAACTGGTTAGCTTCTTTGAACTAAATTCTCTTTTTATAATCGAACTGATTCAGTTCGAAATTGGTTAGATTCGGTTCGAAGAGGTTCAACTTGAACCAATTCTGAACTGGTTTCGAACCAGTTCCTAATTAAAACCATTTCCGAACTGGTTTTGAACTGTATCAAAACTTGTTTGAATTGCATAATTCTCATATTTTTTATTTGAAACAAAGACATATGGGACTCACAATTGAAAAGCATGGAAACATTGAGGAAAAAATAAAAAAAATAAATATAATACCACAAATTTGAAAAAAAGTAATACACAATTGAAAATAAAATAATGTAAAAATAAGATAGAAAAATACATAAGAGAAAAAAAAATACAAATAAAAACTAAACAAACAAAGTAATAAAAATAAAGATAAAAGAAAGAACTAAATAAATAAAGAAAAAAATAGATAGAAAAAAAAAAGCCAATTCGATTCATGGTTTTTTAAACCAGTTTGGTTCTTAAATTGATTTTGAAAACCATTTTGGTAGTTCAGTTTAAGAACTGGTTTTTAAAAAGCACTTGAATTAAAGAATTGTTTTTTAAAAACAATTCAATTGAAAAATTGTTTTTATAAACCATTTTTTTAAGTGCAGTTCGGTTTAGTTCACAATATAATTTAATTTTTTGATTCTTTTGCACACCCTTATACATAATGGTCTAAAGTGATTCATGACCCTCTAGCAACACATGGATATAACATTTCATTTTTGTAAAACAGACTAAATAGTAGACATTTTTCATATCAATGAACTCAACTCCCTCGGTGAGAAACCACATTTTTTATTTCATAAAGAATTTCAGTCCCACTTTATTGAATAATTTAACGATAAGAGCATTTTCACACTATTTGACACCTTCTCTATGCGTCTCCTTAGAAAAGAAATAGGTCGGGCAAAAAGGGTCATGCTTCAATTCATCCCCTCCCATCTCTACTTCTTCCTCCTAACATTGTTGTCTCTTCATCCAATCGTCATCTTCACTCTTCAATGGTTTCGAATTCCACCAAAATTCTTCATTATCAACAAAAGTTAGAGTATAAGATTATCCAACAACAACTACAAACAGTTAAAGCACCAATAAACAACTTAAACACATATTGTACCAAAGGACAAGATATATTCACAAAAACATAAGTTCTATATGAAATTATTGCAGTCACCAAAAAATTATAATTGGAAATTTAATCGATCAAGTAGGAAAACTATAAGAGATGAACACATTAACCAAATTTGAGGATGATCCAATGACTAATCAAATAGATATTTCTCTTTGAATCTCATTGCCTGAAATAGGACATTACTTCTGTTGTCCTCCATTCTCAATTGCACAAAAATCTCCTCAAATCACCATTCCAAAATCCAAACTGTCAAACTCTAGAACCTCACGTGCTTAAGCTTTTGTCAAAGTTTGAGCATTCAAGAAATATGTCTCTTCTAATACTATTGCCTGGTGTGAAATTCTATAGAAAACTAGCCCACTTTGCGGAATTTCTAATATTACTACAGACCTCTAATCAACAAATCAATCATTCAAAATGAAGACTAAAAATTCATGAACTTACTTAAAAAAATTCAGCTTGATTAAATGTTTGAATACAGAGATATCAAAGAAGGATCAAATTTATTAATCCTCTTTCTTCTCTTACATTTTTGCTATTGTCCCTCTTTTTTATTCTGTCTACAATCATTCTTTTGCATTTTTACTACTGTCCTTTTTCCCCTTTTCTCTACGACCATTCTTTTTTTTTAGGGGGCAGGGAGGACTACAAAGGCTGTTACAAGTTTGCTCAAGGAAATCTTTTGTCTATTCCTTATTGGACTAAACTTTTAACTTTTAATAATAAAAACTCAATAAATTCATGTACAAAATAAACTATGCATATTTTTTTAGGAAAATATGTTTCTCATGTCGCATAAGAGAATTTTGTCTCATGTAATAAACAAAAAGTGGGTGGGACCCACTTTTACTCTTTCTCTCTTTTCCTCACATGAACCTCACACACTTTTATGTGTGTGTATGAGATAAATTTTATCTCTTATAATATGAGAAACATCAATCCCATTTTTTTAAGGGCTTTCAACTTCTCCTTTTGCAGGAGAAGTAAGTGATTTCCTTTTGAGAGAGAAAAGAGATAAGGCTCATCTTAAAAAAAAAAAAAAAAAAAGGAGTTGGCACAAAAATTGAACTAAGAGTGACATGAGAAAAAACTTCTCCTTTAAAAAGAAAAGTGTTTTTCCCTTTTATATTCAACTCATGAATATAATTCTTATCCTACAACTCAAGCTGCTTTAATATCTTTTCGTGCTTTAAAGCAGTCTTTAACATAAGATAAGTTGAATTCCCTCTAATTCCAACATCTCAACAAACCATTCCCTTATATTCAACATTTTATTTTTCAACAAATGCCTTGAATTTTGATAAACTAGGTGGAGAAGATCTAATGCATTTGATTGCAACACAGATTTTTAAAATGGAATCTTCAATATCTTTCCATCTTTCCTTCACTATTAGGTGCAAATATGTGCATCATGTAATTGTGATCTCCCTTCAAAACTAAGTTGCTTGGAAGCAT